TTGCAGCGGATGTGCATGTTTCAAATTTTTCTGCAGTTAGTAGACATTTGTACAAGTTTTAAGCCTTATCAGCTGGTAGTTGTGGGAAGGCAGATTAGGTGATGATTTTTGTGAACTCTGTTCCTGTTGGGAAAGGAAGTTGTAAAAAGCCACGTGAATAGTTCTAGATGTAACTGTTGGGTAAAGACCACAGGCATTGTTATCATTTGCAGGACACAGTAAACCTACTTCTTGGCTGTAATAAATGTGTATGTCTGTGTATCCAGTACATGCCAAATTGGCCATGTAGGAACAGAAGGTCTGAGGTTCAGGAGGGGAACCCTGGTATGTGGCCTGCTAGGAAGGTGAAGAGGCTTTACAGCCCACTGTGGCAAGCTGGGAATGCCAAATATGATATACATTTGATATCACGGAATGCGTACAGTATCAGATACTTTTATTCTCTGATAAGAATCTGAATGTGTGCACTTTTGAATTTAAGGAGAAAAACCCAGACACATTACTTTTTAATGTTGTAATGCATGTGGGTAGGGTGTTTGTAAGAAAAACGTAGAATCACGGAATGGTTTGCGTTGGAAGGGACCTTACAGACCATCCAGTTCCAACTCCCCTGCCATGGGCAGGGACACCTTCCACTAGACCAGGTGGCTCCAAGCCTCATCCAGCCTGGCCTTGAACACTTCCAGGGAGGGGGCATCCACAGCTTCTCTGGGCAGTTCTCTTATTTTCTTTACATGAGCTTTCTCTGGGGGAAAAAGCCCCGATACATGTTTTAAGGTCGGAATAATACAGAACTAATCAGTTGAAATGCTTCCAGCTTGCTCATTTGCTTTCTGGAGAACTTCCCAATGAACAGAGCAATCTGAAGCAATAGAGGAACGTGGTCTTAAATGCTTAGAAATATGTGTCACCACTACAAACCAAAAAAGTGAAGCTTTTGCAGTTGAGGCAAAATTACATGTCTTGTCCCTGCAATGTCTCTCTGGTCTTTGGAATATTTCTCTCCAGTCTTGTTGATTTTGCCATTGATTGTGCAGCCTAAAACCCAGAGTTCTGAAGTATCAGAGTTCTGTACTGCTCAGAGATGCACTGCACCAAGAAGGTTTTACATAGTTTTTGAAATAACTAAGTTGCACACCAGCTGCTGGTGGGCAAGTGGGAAATCGTGATGTAAAAAACCCCACCTTTTCCCTCACTAACATTCTTCATTCTAACGTTCAAGTCACCATTGTCTATAGTTTGTCCAAAATCTTCAATACGGTCACTTTCCTGCTGTCATTATGTTTCTTTGTATTTAGCAGTAAAAGATATTTAAAGTAATATCCTTCTGCCTACTATGTTATTTCATTATTGCCCTTTCCAAGGTTTGTAAACAATGGTAGTTCTAAATAAAAAGAGGAAGCTATTGCAACTCATTGAATTGCAAAAATCCTCTCAGTGTAACACTCAGATGTCTAACTTCAAACTGGTTGGATGGGTTCTCAGTAGAGATAAGGGGAAAACTTCTCACACTTTTTTTTCTTTGATGCTGAATTTTAAGCAAACATTAAAAGAATTGCTCCATGTTGTCTGAAAAATCAGCTCATTCATTTTCAGCAGTGGAGTACAGGATTTTTAATGGCTGGTCTTCAATTAGATATCCAAAAACGCATTTTACAGCAAAAATGGTAAGTTTGCGTTTTTTGAAGTGCTTTACACTACAGACTTAGTCCACCTGTTACGTGCTCTGGTTTGGGAGGTTGGATTGTTTTTTAATCAACTCACTGTTCAGCACAACTGACTTAACACTCATAGGCATCTGAAGAATGGATTCAAGGTTAATTCTAAAGCCTTTTTGCTGATGTTGAGATCTGATGTTATTTTAATCTAACCTTAAATTGCAGTTCTTTTCTCCTTAACCGCTTTTGCTGAAGAACAGTAATTCCGTGCTTTTCTGAGAGAACCTTTCAGACTCCCAAATAAACTAAAAAATACTTTCTGCATTCGCAATCACCTAATTAAATGTTCTCAAGCATAGCCAGTGCAGGTTCTTCTGTTTGCTTCTGCCTTCCTACTCTTCCTTGTGCAATCACAGAACAGCCCAGGTTGGAAGGGACCTTGAAAGATCATCTGGTCCAACCTTTGATGGGAACAGGAGCCTAAATGAGATTATTTAGCACCCTGTCCAGTCGCATTTTGAAAACCTCTAGTGATGGGGAGTCCTGTGTCACTGTGGAGGTCGTTCTGGGATTGATTGTTCTCGCTGTAAAAAAAAAGAAAGTCTATATTGAGGTGAAACCTCTCCCAGTGCAATGTGTACTCATTGTCCCGTCTTCTCCATGTGTCTTCACCCTCTTGGCAGTCACTTTGTAAGTACTGTGGCGAGATTCCCCCAGAGCATTTTCTTCTCCAGGGTAAAAAGACAACTTTAGTCTTTCCTCATGGGGGAGGTTCTCCAGCCCTTAGATCATCTTGGTGGCCTTCCTTTGGACCCTCTCTAGTCTGTCTACATCTTCCTTGATTTGTGAGGACCAGAACTGGACACAGTACTCCAGGTGCAGCCTCACAAGTGCTGAGTAGTGGGTTGATCACATCTCTCTGCCAGTAACGCCCCTGCGGATGCAGCCCAAGGATCTGGTTTGTCTTCACTGCATGTTCAGCTGGTCCACCGCGACCCCCTGGTCCCTTTTGGCAAGACTGCTCCCCAGCCACACAGGCTTGTACTGGATTCTATGGTCATCTCATCCCAGCTGCAGGATTTTGCTCTTGTCTTCCTTAAACTTCTTGCTATCCCACTCTTTGACTAAGCTTCATTTTTACCTGCCAGTCCTCAGAGGACAGGGAAGCAGATTTTTGCAGAGGCTGTCTCAGTGGGTGAAATAGGAGAGAAGTCCCTGGGGTGCTGTCAGTAAGCACGGCCTCACATGAAAGGAGAGCACTGGGAGGTGTCTGGGCTAAAGTAACACGTGGGATAATTGGTGTTAGTGGTGCCTTTGTTGGCTCAGTAACTCTTGCAGGAGCACCAGTTTTGATGGAAAGATGGCCGATCTCAGAAACACTGGAAGTAAAAATTAACTATGCAAGGTGCATATAATATTCTAGAGAGGCACCCATGTCATAGAATCACAGAATTCCAGAATGGTTTGGGTTGGAAGGGACCTTAAAGACCATCTAGTTCCAACCCCCCTGCCATGGGCAGGGACACCTACCACTAAACCAGGTTGCTCCAAGCCTCATCCAGCCTGGCCTTGGACACTTCCAGGGATGGGGCATCCACAGCTTCTCTGGGCAACCTGGCCCAGTGCCTCCCCACCCCCTCTGGGAAGAATTTCTTCCTGATGTCCTCCCAAAGTAACTGAGATTGTCACAAAAGTGACTCCTGAGTGTAGTATGCCTGTGTAGCCTTAGCTGCCTTCAGAAATTATTCCTGTTTGTGTCAGTTTTTTGGAACACTTTTGTAAATATTAATGAAAAAGATGTTCTGTCGTTAGCAAACAGCTTTGCCTCCCTTAAGGTGTGATTATTTTAAACAAATTAATAAAAGTGAACAAGGCCACCATCAGGACACATTTTTTTAAACCATGTTGACAAACTATCACTATTGTGTACACATAAGATAGGAGTTTATTATAATCCCTTTTTTTTTGGTGGGCTAATTTAGATATGTTTCTCTTCCTGTTGTCCTTGATCTTCTAGACCACTAAGTCCAAGGCTGCCTTAGTAGATCAATAATTTTTTTCTTAAAAACACTCTTCTTGTTTTCAACAGCCCTAATGTCTGGGAAAGGGAGGAGTTGATATTACACGTTGGAATAGTGTTTGACTATTGCTTCAAAACTACTTCATGTGTTGTATGTCACTTAAAGCATCTGAAGAGACCAAATGTAACTGGTACATGTTAGCATATCTTAGCCTAGAAAACAACTCATCTTCTAAGCTACCGACTCTCACCGTGTATTTTTTCATCAGCAATTGACAGCTCTCCTGAAATTTCACACTAGGGTAGTATTTCCATAGTTATTTCAATTCAGACTGAAATGTACAGCAATTCTTTTACTCTCTTGACTGTACCAATGGCATCTTATGTGACATTACAAAGAAATCCAACTTCTGAGTCCCAGGGTTAGTGCAAAACAGCTCTGCTTGATTAGGTTTTTTTATCCTCTGCAGTAGAACAAATCTGTGCAACATTGCAAAAATACAAGTGTAATTCCAAGGAAACTTGGATCTGATTGGGTTTTGTTTCATTGTTTTTGGAGAATTATAGCATACTAAAAAGAAAAATGGAAGCTTCCGTTGGTAAACGGGCATTTTGGACCTCAGAATTACTTCTGCAGAACATAAGTTCTCCTCCGTTAGGAGTATTTGTATGACTTGCATATGTCGTTTGTTTTTTTTTTAATTCTAAGCCACTTGCATACTTCTGTATCAAATTGTGGCAGTTCCAGCATTGCTCGTATGAAGAGCTTTGCTTGAAGTATTTGTGTGCGAGGTCCCTTTGTTTCTGCTCCCCAGCCATTTTACCTACATTGCATGGGGGCAGGGAAGAGTGCAGAATGGAATAAGCTTTCTGGAGTTTGAATCCAGGTCACTTGGCTAGCTTCCAGGGACTGGGCAATAATAGGCACACTGGCTGCCTTCCCTTTTTCATTCTTTCTTTTCCAGTGATCTGAAACCTGAGGAGAGAAAACTAAGAAGTGGAATTACTCTGAACAAAATTAAAATGTTCTTTCCATTCTAACCTTCTTCTCGAGAGGCTAGAATACATTTCTTTGTCTCTGCTGCTGCTAACTTGCTTTACCTTTTTTTGGTGTACTGTCTTTGGTAGTAGAAAACCGGAAGTGTTACAGAATTTGAATCTCATAACATAAAAGCTCATTTCATATGTAGAGAGAAATGTTTCTACTACAGTAAGCCAGAAACCTTTTAGATGAGATTTCATTCCCCTAACCTAAATACGATAGCGATGTGATACTGACCACGTATGAAGTGATCTAATCATCAATGTGCTATGTCTTACAGAAGATGCAGACTACAGTGCCTTTGGTACGGATACTATGACGAGGAAGAAAAATGTCTTATCAAATGTGTTGCGTCCGGATAACCACAAGAAGAAACCACACATTGTTATTAGCATGCCACAGGACTTCAGACCAGTGTCTTCTATTATAGATGTAGATATTCTTCCAGAAACCCATCGTAGGGTACGACTTTACAAATACGGAACTGACAAACCCCTTGGATTCTATATACGAGATGGCTCTAGCGTCAGAGTGACGCCACATGGATTAGAGAAAGTTCCGGGGATTTTCATATCTAGGCTGGTCCCTGGAGGCCTGGCTCAAAGCACAGGCTTACTGGCTGTTAATGATGAAGTACTGGAGGTGAATGGTATAGAGGTGTCAGGAAAAAGCCTCGATCAGGTTACAGACATGATGATTGCAAACAGCCGTAACCTGATCATCACGGTAAGACCAGCAAACCAGAGAAATAACGTTGTGAGGAACAGTCGGACTTCTGGCAGCTCCGGTCAGTCTACTGAATCCAGCCTTCCAAGTAGCACGCCAAATATCCTAACAAACTTCTTGCAAGGAGAAGAGGAGAGCGATGAAGAGGACATTATTATTGAAGATAGTGGGGAGCCGCAGCAGATTCCAAAGGCTGCACCTACCAGCGAAAGCCTAGAATCGTTGACGCAAATTGAACTCCTTCATGAGTCAACGCAAAATGGATTCCTTCCTTCCACGGAGATGAACTCGAACCATTCAGCAGGCAGCGTTAGCATGGAGTATGAAGTACAAGATCCAGATCATAAGTCATTAGAAGAAGATGGAACTATTATCACACTATGAAATTACCTTGGTGTACTTTGTATTAAGTAAGGATGCCATACATGTTTTAATTTGGCATAATATGTACATTTTATACCTCTCCATCCACTGAGCACTGCAGTTAGATTAAAAGGAGGGAAGAAAGTAAATACAAGAAGCTCAAAGTTATGTAAGTTAACTAACTTCAGTTAATTCTGCACTTCCATGTAAATATTTCACAATGAAGGAAGATAATTGACAAATGACTGGAACTGGATGAGGAAAATTTAAATTGAATATGAAGGATAGCCAAGAGATGGCTGTGAGCTCTCTTTTAAAGGTACTTGATGGTTTTTTGATGCAGGATACTACTGGTTCTGTAGAAGTAAACTTCCCTTACTACTGTGTGAGGTTGACTGTCTAATGTACTGTGGTCTTATGTTCATCTGAAGGGCTGCTTATATGTGACGGAGCTGCTTTAGCCACTTCGTTCCTGCTGTGGACTGCTGTTCAGCTGGTAGAGCTGTTGGTGTGGCTCTGTGTATGAGGAGGCTGGAAAACAAGCAGGAGGTGGGGTGGAAGGAGTTCTTGGTTGGTCTCGTTCCCTGACTGACACACTGAGCAACAGGCATATGTGATGGTGGTCAGGAACTTGACAGCAGTCAGGATTTGAAGGTGGGGTCTTCTGAAGTTGCTTTGTGAGTGAATGTGCAACCACAGGCTCATTAGTCATGCACCTTTCCTGCTTTTAATGGCCAGGTAAGCTTGCTTGAAACGACCGATTTTGAAATTCAAATGTGAAAGTCTTAACATTCATGCATCACAGACCTGTTCTCATTTTAGTTTGCAGTATTTAAGGATATCATTGGATATATTTACAAACACCAGTAAATTTCAAAGAAATCAAATGTAAACTTAACCATCAATGTTGAAATTGCAGTCCTCGTAGAAGCTGTAAAGGTTTCTACTAGCAAAGGTTTTTTGTAGTGAGTCTGAATTATGTAAAAAGTTACTTTTTCCACACCTGAACAAGTTAAACCAACTTAAGCTAAATCCCTGGAGTGGGAAAAAAAAAAAAAAAGAATTAATTGGAATGAGACTTTACTAGAAGTTGCTTGAGCTGTGTGATATTTAATTATTCATTGTGATGAACTCTGCTGTAAATGCTGATCTTCGTGTACCACTGGCTGGGTGTTTTGAACATTACCAAGTTCTACATGTATAACAGAATACTGATGACAAGTCCTGGTGCTGCAAGCATGTAAGTATGCCTGTCATCAGCTGCGAACTCACCAGGAGAGCTGCAAGGAGAAGCCTCTACTCTTATTTTTTCCCTTTTAGTATCTCCTGCTTTACCACTTCGGCACTCGGTTCCCACCGTGACCCTTCACTAGTTGTGGCAGGAGAATGAGGTGGGCACTAATAGGATTGGGGAGAAGCATGGCTGGAGCTTCTCACCAGGGATCCAGTAGTCTGTCAACCTCTAGGAAAGAAGTAGGATGCTACCAGTTCTGTACTGTGGTACTGTGCTTGCCAGAGCCAGTAGTCGGGGTGCTTGGAAGCATGTTCTACCCTGTGGGGAGATGGTGAGCGGGAAAGGAGACTAACCCCTTCCTGGTTTTTTTTCCCCTCAGTCTGTCTTGAGGAAAAAATCTACCTCTGGTAACTTTACTAACAAGTGGCTAACTGTAAGTTTAAGGCATCTGTAAAAGTCTTATAGGATATCAGAGACTAAAACTGTGTTTGTTTATGGGTTTTGTAATGATGTAAACAAAATCGCTTCATAAATTACTGCTGTTTAATCTTACTGAATGCAGATTTTAAATTCATCTCGCATGAGCAGTACTGTTTTCAAGCCTTCAGTACAACTGGAGTTCAGGTCTCACAGACGTCAGGAAAGGTGTTCATGCCCATTCTGATTTATGGAGAGTTGGCATAACAGACAATGGTACTCTGCAAATATAGGCCAGAGTTTTGATTGGTTGGATTTATTTATGGCTTCTTCAGCGTGTATATGGAGAGGCCCTGGAATCCTTTCCAACACGAGCAAGAATTTTGAAGTGGTTTGTTTTGCTAATAATTATTGAAAATGAAGTAACTACATCCATGTAGTGTGAAATGAGGAAAACAAATGTTCATTCTGCAACATACAGACCTTTTTTTTGCTGTCAGTGCTGCTCTACACGTCCTTTATTTAAGGAAGATTGTTTACTTTAATATGTCTTTTTCCTTTATCAAAAGACTTCCCTTCCAGTATGAAATCATCAGCGGAGGGTGACTTTCATTTGTTATGCTAGTTTGCACTTCTGTGCCTTTTGTTTACTTGAATGTATTGTGAATAATCAAAGGAGTAAAGGCACTTGGATGAGAAACGAGGTCCACAGGTACAGAAAATGAACTGGTAACGCACTTAATACAGGTGTAATGTTTCCATTCCGTGGAAATATATTATGGGCCTAATGTATGTTAGTATTTTGCAGCTTGGACAACAGCTTTGAGCTATTACTGTACGCAGGGGGGTGGGGTCTGAGAATGCTGGTGTTGCGAGGTAACTTGCTGCTTAGGTAGAAACACCCAAGGTTAGCGTGCTGCCAAACTCTGTTACCTAATCTGTACTCCCCACAGACACATGGATATTTTGAATATATATGCCAGTATTAAAGACATGTAGAAATTTAACTGGAGTCCTACTCTAAATTGCATGAGAATTCATCTCTTGGGACCTTTCCTGCAAACTGCTTGAATGTGAGATAATATTCTTTCTGACAGACATCGTGTTCTGTTTTACAGAAATTTGGTTACGTAGTAAAACTAAGCATTTGGGACTTGATAAAAATACTAAAGAATAAACCTAAATATGGGGTTTTTAAAGGGTGTATTTACAGTTACAATGACAGACTGCACAGCATGTAATTGCTTAATGCTGCAGTTACCATAAAATTTCTAAAGTTCTTCCATATCTTACTAATGCATACACTGTTAATTAAAAAATATTTTTAAACTGTTACTTCAGGATGATCAACGGCTGATTATGAGTGGCTGAACTTAACTTTATATATAAATGGTACTGGGGTTCAGTATAAGGTTTTTTAAAATACACTGATATTGTTAGCCTTTCATTCACTACCTCCTAAATTTTTAACATCTTTACAGTTTTTTCCTTGGAAGAAAATACTTAAAGGCTTGACTGTTTTATATAGATTTTATCTTTAGCTAAAAAAAAAAAAAAAAGGAAAAATCCAAAAGTGATAGTGAGGATGCTATGCATGATTGACAATATTACGCTGCTATTCATGTAATCTTTGTGTATGAAGTATCCTGTATATGTAAATTTTATTTTCAATCCAGATTTTATAAGTTAATTTATAAATATCCAAATTATTTCAAAATGGAATGGAAAACTAAAATTCCTTTGACTAGTGTTATATGTTGTGTACATGCACAGTGGGAGGACATGTCATTCCTTACTCGTGACTGAGAGATTTAAGTGCACCTTAATAGGAAAAAGAACAAATTCTTAATAGAATTAAGATGCATTTACTTTGAAGTTCTGCTATGGTACTCGATAAGTCAAGCCTAACTGTGAATCATATGTTGTTTTTTTCCACAGCTAAATTAAATTTAGGACAATGTTCTCACGAGCTGTCTTTAACATGTGTATTTTTGTGAATATTATGTATTTTCTAATTAAATTTTACTTGCAATGTGATTTTTACATGAATGAACTTGTTTAAAATGTCAAATATCAGTATTTTTCTTACAACTTTAATGTATAATGTACATTGGTATCTCACTGAATGAAGAATGATTTTACAAAATCAAGCTAGATGTAGTTGTATATTAGTCTTATATTTTTACAGACTGGAATAATAAATGGATATAGAAATAAAAGGTGTTTTTTCTCAATTACTTAGATAAGTAAAATGAGGAAGAATGTATCATCTCCAGTGTGAAAGTAGGTGGGCTTTGGTTTTTTTTCTCTTGGGTGGCTAAGTTGGCTCTGTTTTCATAGCGGTTGTACAAGCTGGCTTCCTCTGACCCCTTCTCTGGCACGAATCTCTACACATGGAAGTATGCAGGGCTTCCAAACACTTGTCCTTCAGCCCTGCTGACTAACCTGTGATGTGCTTGTTCCTACAGTAGCTGCAGATAATGAGCCTTACGTCGTATCGCTTGCCTGAGGACTGCTGCTAGTAAGGGTTAGGTGGTGGGAGATGGTTCCTCATCTTCCGTCACCTTTGTCAAGTGCTGCTGGTGATGGGGATTTTGCTGTTGCTGTAAGTATAGCTGTCTGTCAAAGTTTTAAGTGGAACCCATTCCACTGGCAAATGTTTTCTCCTATATCTAGTGCCTTGGCAACCCCTGTAAACATTTACCTGTTGACAGAAGACTTGAGTTTTGTTCAGCCTTTTGTGTAGGGTGTGACTGCTAGTCTTGGGGCCGGTCAGGAGACTTCTGTACCTTCCTTCACACGTGTGACTAGTTTCATTTGTACGGCTCAGTACTTTTCAGACGCACCCGTGTAGCTATGGGAAGGTGACAGGAAGACGGAGAACACCACTACAGTATCTTAATCTTGGTATGCAGCTGAGGAACCCAGCCTACTTCATCTCTGCACTTGAGTCTCAATGTCTTGTAGCTGGAGGAAATTTTTTTGATAGAAAGTGACAGCTCACCCCTTTCCTAAAGGAATGCTGAAGTTGGTATGGTATGCTTGGAATGGTGTGAGCTTTAAAAAATCATCCTACCTGTACTAAAATTCAGGTGCAGTATTTTTCTAACTTCAGAACATCTATCCAAATGCCTAAAGCTCTAAAACTGGGAGAGACTTCCAAATTACTGACTCTTTAACATGTGAACTGTTGTAGGAGCAGGTAACTTTCTAGAATTGCTGCTGAAATGTTTCGAGTGTCGGATATCTTTAATAAATTAGATATGAAAAAACGAGGAGCAAAATCTGAAGGACTGCAGACAGACTGCAAGATGAGACAATGTACTGACAGTTCAGTGTAGTTGAAATGTGCGTGTGTGTGTGGGAAACCTGTCTTGACTTGGTACATGTAATGCTGAATGCCAAGCTGACTTGCTTCTCAGGAGCCTACCCTGGGCTATCATAGTTCAATGAAAATATCAGCCCCATACTTGCTGGCATTTAAAAAAAAAAAGGGGGCAAAACCACAAAAAGCCAACAACAAAAAAACCCCTGTGTTAGGAATAAAGGACAAAACTGGTAACAAGGTTATTGTAGAACACCATGGTTCAGCAATGCTTTTAATGTAGTGTGCAGTTCTAATTGCTTGTGTTCAAAAAGGTACCAGACTGAAAGTAATAAGCATCGTAGGAAGTCTCCAGTGTAACGAAACTGAGGAGTAGAGGACTGATCATCCTGGGAAAGATAGTAAAAAAGCAATAAAGC